CGCTGATGCTTTGGAGCTTGGTTGCATCTATAACGCTTGTCGTGCGGGGCTGCGTCATCGTTTGGAGACTTGGTTGATCTATAACGTGTCGTGCAGGGGGTGGGGTGATGTTTGGAGACTTTGGTAGATCTGTGACGTGTCGCGCAGGGGGTGGGGTGATGATTGGAGACTTGGTAGCATCGTGACGATGTCGTGCAGGAGGTGGGGTGATGCTGGAGACTTGCGCTTGATCGTTAACGGCTCGTGCAGTGGTCGTGGGGTGATGTTTGGAGACGTTGTTGAATCTATAACGTTGTCGTGCCAGGGGGCTGGGTGATCGTTTGCGATAACTTGGTAGATCTGTGACGTGTCGCGGGGTGCGCCAGTGATGTTGGAGACTTGCGTTGATCTATAGTGGTCGTGCAGGGGGTTGGCCGGTGATGTTTGGAGCTTGCTAGATCTGTGACGCTTCACGCAGGGCAGGGCGATGTGCATGTTTTGGAGACTTGTAGATCTGTGATGTGTCGTTGGGGTGGAATGTCGATACGCAGGACGAGGAAGACGGCGCGGTGGTGAGAAGGAGACTGACGGCACCCGCCATATAGAGACGAGCGCGGGACTGCGACCGGGAGCGACCGCCGTCATGTTCCACTGTCCCGCAGAGAACCCCGCGCTGCTGTGACGCGGCGTGACGACGCGGTGACGGCGCGGTGACGCGCTGCCCTAGTGAACGTGGCCGTTGACACCGGCAAGCGCGACACGGACGCTCGCTGGTGGGACATGATTGTCACCACTCGCAAGTGACACAGAAGATGGCATGGCAGGTGCGCCGGAAGAGGCATGACGACACCAGTGCACACTGGCAAGTGACGTGGAGGCAATACGGCGCAGCGTTACGCGGCAAGTGATGCGGAGGTCGCAGCATGACACGGGTAGTGACGCGAAGCGGGACGCCATGTCAACATGCGGCTAGCTGACACGGGCAGGCGGATGCTGTGTCACATGGCTAGTGACGCGGGCAGGCCCGGTGGCGCGGCGCAGCGTGACACGGCGTAGTGACACAGGAGGGCGCATGCTGTGCCTCACATGGCTACGTGACACGGCACGGCTGTGCGGCGCCGCGCGTTGCCAGCGTTGGACACGCGGTAGTGACGCGAAGGGGACGCCATGTCACATGGCTAGTGACACACGGAGGCGGTGGCGCGGCGCAGCGTGACACGGGTAGTGACGCGGAGGGGACGCCATGTCACATGGCTAGTGACACGGAGGCGGTGGCGCGGCGCAGCGTGACACGGGTAGTGACACGGAGGGCGCATGCTGTTCACATGCGCTAGTGACACGGACCGCCGGCGTGGCGCGGCCGCAGCGGGACACGGGTAGTGAACATGGGTGAAAGTAATGCAACGGTGTAAAGGAGGTGCGCACCGGCCACAAACTAACATCTTATATATACGTTGGTGGCCTTATCTATATTCTGTCACTGTGTATATTATATATCATGTACGGTGCTCATCTTAAGGATTCGGAAGCAGGCTATCTCTCTATCTCTCTATCTATCTCTCTCTCTATCTTCCATGTCTATCTATAAGCCATCCCAATTTATCTCTCTCTTCCTCTATCCTTCTATTATTATTGATAAAGCGTTTACACCCCATCTATCTCTTTCTCTCTTATCTCCTTATCCTATATATCTATTTTGTCATGATATAAATGAGTTTACACCCCATTCTCCCGGGCCCCCACCGGAGTCCCAACATTGTCTATTTATATAAAGGGTACAACCCCTCTCCCGCTCCTCCACAGTCCCACAGTTGTCATTGATATAAAGGTTTACACCCTATTCTCCTGCTCCCTCCACAGCTCCTACATTGTGCTTATTGATAGAGGAAATACACCTCATTCTCCCGCTCCCTCCACAGTCCTACATTATTATTTATGGAGACGATACACCCCATTCACCTGCTCCTTCCACAGTCCCACATTGTTATTGATAGAGGAAATACACCTCATTCTCCCGCTCCCTCCACAGTCCTACATTATTATTTATGGAGACGATACACCCCATTCTCCTGCTCTCTCCACAGTCCTACATTATTATTGATAGGCGAATGCAGTTACCGCTTCTGCTTCTACAGTCCCTTAATGTTGTTATGAGGTTGGAATCCTCTACATATAACTTATCTCGAGTAATATCTAGACAGTCCACCTTCATATCTCGTGTGTATATATGTATCTATAAATAAATGAATAAATATGTATATATATCAGAAGTACTTCTGATATATATTATGTAAACATATGTATGTTATTATCAGTTTGATGAATGTCACTATACTGTTCCTGGTCACATGCGTATATCACTTGTAAATATTAGTACATGGTGTCAGATTCGGACCATCTCGATCCTATCACTCATCACCCTGTAATTTCTGCAGTTGCAATGTGAGATTCAGAGAATTTGTCGTGTGTATATACAAATGAAGTGCAGTGTCGAACGTAGTGCGTGACGATGGATTGATTCTTGGACCGCGAGCTCAATGTTTTGACAGGAGATATTATCAGGAGTGTATAATATAGACTATATTATACACGCCGGATAATATAAAATCAGTCGACCTATGCTATCGAGCCACTGTTATGCCACTGCCTATGTTAGCAACAGCCACTTAAACGTTCACAAATATAAATTCTAATACGGCTCTACCACTCTAAACTCTAGACCGCGCTACAAATACCTAGGGTTCCACCTATACCACAATAGTAACTCAAAATTTGGTGTAGAGGAACTTAGAAAAAAGCCACTAAAAGCAATGCACAGTCTAAGACGCTCTATTTTTAACTACGAAACTCCGGTCAAAACGTACATTACGCTGTTCCACTCTGTGATACCACCCATAACCCTACATGCCTGTGAAATTTGGGGTCCAGACTTCATCAAATTATCAAATCGGAATCAGATACTCATGCCCAATCAAATATACAAAACCTGTTCAGCCTATATATACTTATGGAACTTGTATAAATATATAATGGAATTTATAAATATATACTTATGGAACCGCTTCCCATTTGAAACGATTCTGAACAAATTTTGCAAATGGGTATTGGGAGTTGGAACTAAAACTTCTAACATAGCCGCCAAAGCTGAGCTAGGAATGTTCCCCTTATTACACAATATAGTTCTTCAAGTGGCAAAATTCTGGGGCACCATGCAAAATTCACAAGTCCTAACCCCCTCCTGAAGGAATCTATTCAATTCTACAACGACATTCCTGAAGGCATTACTAAGACTTTCACAAATTGGTCAAAAATAGCAACATACTTATTTAGAACTTATGGCAAAAAAAACAATCTGGAAGTGCAATTCCAATCAAAACTACATGAAACCATACTCAACATAAAGAGAAACTTGCAACAAAAATATGCCACCATGTTCTTTAACGACCTGAATGATGACAACAGAAAAAAGGCGGGTCAAATAAACTAAGATTTTATAAACAACTTAAAACAAAATATGAACCTGAACCATACCTATTAAATTTATATTCCAAACAAGCAAGAAGAGCATTAACTAAACTAAGGCTTAGCGATCACAACCTAAGGATTGAACAAGGCCGTCACCAATCCATCCCTGCTAATCTTAGATTCTGTTCCCTATGCAATAACGGGTCAATAGATGATGAACTCCACCTACTCTATGACTGCACTGCCACCAACCACATCAGAAAAAAAGATAGAAGACAAATTTATACACTTTACATTCCTAGGCAAATCATCCATAAATGGTTATTCATCACAAATCATGTGGCCGATCTTTTCGAACTCTCAAAGTTTATCGAAGATTCATTCAAGCTACGCCAAGATCCACCCAAAACATAAATGGTGAGATATACAAATAATAAATTAAATTACACCACATATCCCAAGCTAAATACAGAGAGGTTTAGACCAACAGTCGGGCTTAACTAGTCCTACATCTGAACTCAGGTCGCCTGCAGTTTCCAATACCAAACGTTACTATCTGCGGCAACCGATACCACGCGATACTTACCGCGATAGTCTACCAAAGCTCTGAGTCTACTCACATGAACCTTGTTCGGCGTAGTTTAGGAGTTTGAATTTTATTACACTAGTTTGAAGTGTTGTTTTTTTTGGTTAAAAATGAACGTTAAATTATGTTAAATAAAAAAATATATTATCATGTATTATGATGTAACATGTGTCATGCAGTCATGTCAAAGTTTAAGTAGTACAAGACACATCGTTTCTCTCGTTTTTATTCTTATTAGCCTAGGAACTTGTTTTATTGTAGTTTGTAGCCTATTTCAGTATTTGCCTGTATGATCTGCGATTATCCGTGCAATAAACTTTATTTGAATTTGAATTTGAATTTGAATTTGAATTTAACAGTCGTCTTTGCGTTCGTTGACTCGGCCTGTCAACGCGCTTATCATCGTAGATCAAAACAAATCGTGTTTGCAAATGAAGTGCAGTGTCGAACTAGTGCGTGACGATGGATTGATTCTTGGACCGCGAGCTCAATGTTTTGACAGGCGATATTACCAGGAGTGTATAATATTATAGGCTATAGTCGCGCACCAGACGTTTGTTTGACGAGATAAGCCACTTCTTAACGTCTTGACTTTTCACCCGTGCAGAAATCGGTTAATATGGCTGCCGTGGGAGATAGCGCGACAGGCAAGTAAGTGTGAGTGTGCACTATACGCAGTGGTAAACGGCTAAACACAATATTGAAGCAGGTTTCTGGCAAGAGTAGAGCTCGAACGCGCACACAGGCAGTGCTGACCACGACGACGACGACGCGTGGAAATTTTGCCCTAGTGTGGTATCCTATAGTGTGACTATTTATTACCGATGATCTGTGCTCTTGCGTGATTTTGTGTGCGCGTGTGTCTGTGTTTGGGGGTGGTTTTGTGTGTGTGCCTGTATCTGTGTTCGTGCGTAATTTTGTGTGTGTGTGTGTGTGCGCGCCTCTATCCGTGTCTGTGTGTGCCTCTGTGTCCACGTGTGTGTGTTTGATCGTTCGTGTGTGTGCGTGCGTGCGTATGTGTGTGAGAGTTTGTGTGCGTGCGTGCGTATGTGTGTGAGAGTTTGTGTGTGTTTGTGTGGGTCTGTGTGTGTGTGAGAGTTTGTGTGGGTCCGTGTGTGTGTGAGAGAGTGTGTGCGTGCGTGTGTGTGTGAGAGAGAGTTTGTGTCCGTGCTTGTGTGTGTATGTGTGTGAGAGTTTGTGTGTGTTTGTGTGTGTGTGAGAGAGAGAGTTTGTGTGCGTGTGTGTGTGTGTGAGAGAGAGTTTGTGTCCGTGCATGTGTGTGTATGTGTGAGAGAGAGAGAGAGTTTGTGTGTGTTTGTACGTGTGCGTGCGTGTGTGCGTGAGAGAGAGAGTTTGTGTGCGTGCGTGTGTGTGAGAGAGAGTTTGTGTGTGTTTGTACGCGTGCGTGCGTGCGTGTGTGTGAGAGAGAGAGAGTTTGTGTGCGTGCGTGTGTGTGAGAGAGAGAGTTTGTGTGGGTGCGTGTGTGTGTGTGAGAGAGAGTGTGTGCGTGCGTGTGTGCGCTCGTGTGTGTGTGCGTGCGTGTGTGTGCGCTCGTGCGTGTGTGGTGCGAGTGAACATGGGTAGTAAGAGGCTCCTTTCGGTGCCCGCCGTCCTCTGCCTCGTCCTCACCATCTTCATCGCCGTCGCCGCCACCGGCCTCCTGGTCGGCCTCGCGACGCGCTCTTGCTCCGGCAACCCCGACCCGCCTTCCGACGTAACCACGGCAACCGCATCCGCGACGACGGCGACGACCGCGGCGACCGAGTCGACGACGACCGCCGCGCCGTCGCCGACGACGGCGACGACGCGCGCGACGACGGCGCCCCCTGGCGACGAGCCGTGGCGTCGACCGCGCCTCCCGGCGGCCGTCGCGCCGCTGCGCTACGCCGTCCACCTCTACCCGAACCTCGACGACGACCGTTACTACGGCAACGTCGACGTCGACTTCCGCGCCGACGAGGCGACGCGGCACGTCGTGCTGCACGCGCAGTACGTCGCCGTCTCCCAGGTGGCGCTGCGCACGAGCGGCGGCGATGACGTCGCGGTCGCTCGAAGCTTCCTCTACGAAGAGAACCAGTACTTCGTCGTGGAGAGCGAGGTGGAGCTGGCGGCGGGGGCAGAGTACAGACTGTCGCTCACGTACGAGGGGGATCTCCTGCTGAACATCGTCGGCATCTACAAGAGCACTTACGCGGCGGCCGACGGCACGCTGAGGTGAGGGAGGAGACACGCGGGTAGCGGCTCTGCCGAACTATAGTTAGCAGCTTTGTGCGGAACGCAAAAACTAGAAAAAACGCGTAAACTCCTAGTGATAGGAGGGGTGAAACTTTCGAGAACGCGGTTTTCGCGATAAATATATATATATATTTAAAATTATGTTCATAGAAGAATCATGGCAAAAGACACTTGGAATTTCTATAATTTATATTTGTGATTTCGCGTTTTAGTAGGTGTACTCTGACAATTAGTCGTTCCAGAACTCATTTGTAAGAGATGGATCATGTGGTAGAAAATGTATCTGGAAAAGCAATGCGGGGAGAACCACTTTCTTTATTAGGACACTTTCTTTCTTTCTCCTTGCTGCATGTTGCAAGCTGATGATAAATCCTCTCTCTCTCTCTCTCTCTCTCTCTCCTTCTCTCTTTCTCTCTCTCTCTCTCTCTCTCTCTCTCTCTCTCTCTCTCTCTCTCTC